GGGGGGGGGGGGGAAAAATTTTTTTTTGGGGGGCTCCCCCTTGGGGGGGGGTGCTTTTTTTTTGGGGGGGGGGGTTTTTTTTGGCCCCCCCTTTTTTCAAGGGGCCCCCCTTTTTAAAAGGGGGTGGCGCCCCCCCCCGGTTTCCCCTTTTTTTTTTTTTTTTTTTTAAAAAAAAAAGCCCCCGGTGTACCCTTGGGGCCCCCCCCCAAGAAGGGGTTTTTTTTTTTTGGGGGAAAAAATTGGGGGCCCCCCCCCCCCCCAATTTTTTTTTTTTCCAAGGCCCCCGGGGTTGGGGGGGGGGGGGGGGGGGGGTTTTTTAAAATTTTTTTTTTTGGGGGGGGTTCCAAAAAGGGGGTTTAAAAAAAAAAAAAGGGGGTTTTAACCCCCCCCCCCCCCCCCCCCCCCCCCCCGTCTCTCCTGCCTTCCTTCCAGTTAGATTCTCAAGGGCTAGTTTGGGAGGGAAGGTTGAACACTGAATATGCTTGTGCTAACGCCCTTGCCTTTGTCTGGCTCGGGCGTGAACATGTAGTCTTATGTTTTTCATGGGTTTTTTTCAGATTTGCCGTCCAGAGGGGACCCCGAATCTTGGTTATCCCACACAACACCGAAAATAAACACCCGGTCTACCATGTGCATCTCATCATCATCCCCAAGGTCGCGTAGGGTCAAAAATCTATCGCCAAGTGTTTTGAAGGCCGAACGCAGGTTAGGTCCGGGTCGGACTGCATTCCGTGCCTACACCCCCATGTACATCTCCAGTGTCGTGGGGCACAGTCCCTGCTTGCTGTTCATCTCTACGCAAGTCTGTTGTCGTTCGGAGTAGGTATCCCTTTACCCTTCGTTTTGGGTGTGTGTGTTCGTCTTACTAGAAACTAGAAAAACGTTCGAACCAGTTTCCCAACTGCTGCTGTTGCAGCCTACTACATACGCGCCGTGTCCAACAACAGAGATAAGAAATCAGCGTCAGTCAGCCGTCTTCCGCAGGACTGGCGAAAGAGAACTGCCTACTGCCGTGAAGGCCAGCACTGCTGTGGTGCTCGTGACAAGAACGCGCGTAGAATATTGTCGGCATGGGTGCCCGCCATGTTGGAAAGGTAAAAGCTGGGAACTTGTTCCTGCTTGTAGTATAAACCCTGCGCCAATGTTGTCAGACAGACTGATGTCACGGTGTTCTACTGAACACCTACATACTACAAGTAGACATTTCCAACCAATTCTTGAGTACAAGCATTGTGCTGACGGTGGGCGTGTGCACCACTACTATCTATGGCGGATGCGAGCGAGACGCATCGACGCAACTAGTCTAGAGGTGTGCGGATGAAACACAGCAGGTCGTTTTTTTGGGGGGGGATATCGTTTTCCCATTTTTTAAACCATCCGTGACCTCGGTGCGAGTCCACTCCTTGAGTGGGAAGAAGCAAGCAAATATGTCCTGCTGGTTTGACGCGGCAACTCGGCGTTAACAACGAAAATCACCACGCATACGCGACGAACTCGAGCAAAAATCAGAGGACTTGTGTCGTTTGCACTAATTGTAAAATCCAGCCGCGGTCGGTGTGGGAGGCAAGGGCGTCGTGTGTGCTACAAATGCACGCGTGCCTCGCGCGTTGTGGCCCCCCGCGCGAGTGACAATTGAAACAAATCTAACCTGGGGACACCGCACCGTGTTGGAAAGCGAAAAAGGTGCCGGTTAACACTTTTTTGTGTGTTCCATGTGCACCAAGAGCTGAGGTTCAACACCGTACAAAGTACACAAGATGATGAGTGGGGGCTCAACAGAAGGGCTGCGTTTTGATGGGGGGGGGGAGCTGTTGTTGTTACGGAGAAGTCTGGTCCTGTTTGCTCTGCAGGGAGCGCGACAGGATAGATAGGTACCCAGGGGGGCGACGCGTGCCCAGCCGACACCAACACTCGGGCGGCCCATGGCGGCCGGACGCCAAGCTCAACAAACTTTCGCTTGGTTTCAACTCTCTAATTTCCCCCGCAAAACTGCTCCCTTTGCACTCGGCCTCTGGCACAGCAGTGCATACAGAGGTGTCGACGTGCTGTGCCACAGTGGAGGCGCGTGTCTGGTGCAATCTCCGGTTATCATGAAGATCGGGACCTGAAAATAGAAGACGGCTCCTCTACTGCTGTAGCACTCAACCCCCTTCGGGAGCCACGGTGAGGAAGGCGGAATCATGACAAGAGGAGACCGACGACGACTGCTGACACCCGCGCCGGGGGCACGAAAGCGTGTAATCGGCTTCACACCGGCAGTAGCACAACAAACGAACACCATGTGCAACTCGAAAACTGTTTTGATCATCACGAGACACCGCCCACCAAATGAATTCCCTGGCCTGTCCCACGTACAGTAGTACCCTTTTGCTCGATAACTCCCTTCCTCGAAATCGAATGCACTCCGCCCGGCCCTTTGCCCTATAAATCCTTCGAGCAGCACCCAGAACCCACTCCTTACATTACTTGCTCGACTTCCAATCCCGTTCCAAAAAGTACCGTCGTGCCAATCACACGCAGAGAGGGCCTTGTACAGCAGCAGTTGTTGAAAAGAAGCAGGCAAAGCACGCTTCCACCTGAAAAACAACAAATCAATCACAAAGCAAGCATCTTCAATCATCATCATCATCATCATCGCAGGCCGGTTTCCAGCGCGACCTTGCGGTAAATCTCGAAGTCCTTGCGCTTGAGGTAGGCCAGCATCTTCCGCCGCCTGGCCAGCAGCTTGACGTATCCGCGCTTGCACGAGAAGTCCATCCGGGCGGTGGAGTTGACGAGAGGGCGTAGCGCGTCGATGCGCACGGTCAGCGCCGCAACTGAGACGGGAAAGTCGACGTCGATATTCGCAAACGCCGAATGGTTGAACCATCGCAGCAAGCAGATTTCATGGAGGGCGGGGTAGGTAGGAGGGTAACGGTGATCCACCATGCCAGGGATGAAAGTATAGACATCGTTATACACGGAGGCATACCGGGGGGGGCGGGGGCGGCATACGGAGGCATTTTCCCACTTGTCCACCTCATACGAACTCGACTATAACTGACTTGGAGGCCGCGTCGCATCCGGTTGTCATCCTACGTCAATGCCATATTTCAATTGCATGAAACAAGCCGTTCTTTTTCCCGTACGACTCACAGGAACCACGTCAGCACTTGCCGCATTTACTTTTGAGACATGGCGCTCCTCCTTTTTTTCTTGCCGACAACAACGGACGCTTGCTTACGTATTGACACGCATATTTGTATGTATTACAACAAACCTCACAAAAAGGAACTGTCCGTGAAGCTAGCCCTCTTCCAACCATGTGCAATTCTTGACGCATGTGCTGCACAGCAGTACATAGTGCACACGCAACTCCGTTGTGGTAAGGCTCACTGGCATACATGTATATGCCACTCACTCTGGCATTCCGGCGAGCCCGTGTCTCCGGCATGTCTCTGCCACTTCTCCAATTCCAGCCTCTTGAGCAGCTTCTTCTTTTGTGGCCTGCTCGCCAGATAGCAGAATGGCACGCCCGCGCAGATGCACACGCAGCAACGCGTTAGAATCAGGGTTTCGAACCTCAACCACGATTTGTTGTGCACCAAGCCATCGAGGGGGGGGAGGGAGGGGTATGTGCTTGAATGTCGAGGACGAGGGCGGGCACCGCTCCCCTTTTAACCCTACTCCGTCGTTTGACGGTGTACCAAAACCATACAACTTGAATGCTTCCGCGACAGATTCGTCTGCGCCATGACCCCTATCAACGAAGACAGACCCCGCCAACTTCCGGGTGCTATTTTCGTTTCTGCCGCACCGTGCAGCACAGCAGCGACTCTTGCCCGTCTCATTGCCCTCCACGTAATTACCTCTCTGTTGCCATCACAAAATCTAAAACGTCTCGATGGGGGACTATTTCATCCGCGGTACACCAGAGTACTAAATAGGTAATTTTTCTCATGTGCTTAAAGCTGTACCGCTGTAATACATCCTTCTTCGCATTCTTCGATTCGGAGTGTGCTGCAGTTTTCTGCTCTCCTCTGGCTCGCCACATTGGCGTGTCCGAGCAATCTCTCCGCCCACGACCTCTACTGGACAACCTTCCGTGATTTAATATTTTGTCCGATGATTAAAGGCGCGCCCTTGTACGCCGCAGTTAGGGGTCTGCCAGCCTCTTGCAGCCTCTTCACTGCTACTGCTGTAACTGCCTCCACAAATGCTATCCTTTCCTCTCGCAATCTCTCGAGTTTTCACCCCTCGCTTGTTCCGCTATGCTGTCCCTGCCTTGAAACCATTTCGTCTTCGTTGCAACGATTAAACTCAACTTTCTCCTGGGCACATCCTGTGCTATTCTTCACAGTCTCGACCTCGATTCCAATCACGTCGCAGCAATGCCCTTGTAACATAGAAGTAAAATTTCGACAGAGAGGTGCTTGCGGACAAGACCTCGTGCATCATGCGTAACAGCAGCCTCGCGGCGACATACACGAGATGATACCCCGTGTGAACGAGACATGTTTCTGTGCAGTCTCACTCCTTGGCATGGCGACACAAGTCACGACAAAAGACGCCCGACCAGCTGCAAGGCTTGGCACCGGCGAACGCGAGCCTCCCCCAAAGTAAAATACTTGGAAGCACCGCAGTACAGCAGTAGTCAGTACAGTAAATAGTACCGCACCGCGGGGATGGTTGTACTATACTCCGGTGACTGTACGACACAAGATAACACACACCCTGGAATGATCTTCAAAGCTCGATTTATCATCAGCAGAAAGAGCCGCAGCGCCGAAAACGGCGGCGTTGAAACCGCCTGGTCGAGCGCTATCGGAATACGCATCGTTTCGTTTAGTCTATGCATCCTCTTCGTCGTGGAGTAATCGAACTTTGAATATCGGTCCAGGGGGTGTGTTATCTTGTGTTGTGTACGGTAGTCCTGTCAAAAAGAGAAAGCACCCAATCAATGTCGTCGCTGTTCTTGACACTCACATGGTGCTGTTGTCAATACTCAATACCCGCCGCACGGGATCACTGACTTTCATGTCTTCCGGGATCTTAATCCCGTACACCATCCTCTCACTAGCTAGTCCCCGCTGCTGCTGCTGCTGCTGCTGCTGCTGCTGCTGCGGCCAGTCCGCACCCCGGGCTAACGCCACCACTGCACCAGGAGCCGCACCATTTCTTCTAAGCAACGCCGCCGTGCTTCGTGTCAGCAGAGCTTGCATCGCCAGAAAACGAAAAAGACAATATGATGGTGTTAGAAGTTGACTTCTGCTTCGTGCGGCCAGCAGTGGAGCATGCAATGCTGAGCTAAGTGCTGAGTGCCCTGTGCGGTGCGCCGCTTTGCTTGCCATCTGGGGATTCGCAGATAAATATTACACCCGTGTGCGAAACTGCGTCGCCTCCAGGGCGGCGAGATCTTTCACATTCCTTTATTCCTCCGCTTTGTGAGAGCACACTCATCAGCCCCCAACAGTTGTTACGTTGTTACTGCCGTACATGATGAGCGCCAAACAGCAGGTGTGTATTGAAGGAAGTGCTAGCAAAGGCAGCATGTGTGCATGAAATTTGTTTTGCGTGTCCAGGTAAGCTCCACAAGTCCCTGGAGGACCATGCTGTTGTGGTAATCTGTTTTCCAGCCGATGTCGTGTACTCCGTATGCTAATACACTTACTTGTTGTGCTCAAAGTACGAGTCTTATATCACAAAAAGGCGTTTTAGGTATGCCGACACCGCAGACTACTAATGTATTTAGTGGTATTACAGACTTACAAGCTTCTGCACACGAAGCTACACTGCGCTATCCCCCAGAGTCGCGCACTTTTCCGAAAAAACAAGCTTCATTGAACCGGCTCATACACCGTTGTTGGATCACTATATGTACAGCAGTACATACCTTCTTGAAACCGCCCACACAACCCTGTTTTCGCTGAGAGCAGCAGCATTGCAGCAAAACGTTCCAATCATCGACTGACGCCTTCTACTAAAATACTCAGTTTAATATGTACCATCTCTTGCGCCAAGAACGATAACCCCGAACGCTCCCGCGTATCTCCCCGGCTTTCATTTTTCTTCCACCACGTTCAGACCAATCGCGACATCTTGTGTCGTCTCGGATTCGATCTGATAGCCCATCTCGAGGCAATGCGCGGCAAGGGCATGCACATCCGAGACATCGAGATCCAAGATTGCGTCCAGGCGCCGGCGGCAGCCTTGCGGGTGTGGGAAGACAGCAACTTTCCTTATAGGTGCCACATATGCGTAGATTGCTACTACAGTACTGCTGCTGTAGATGATGTGTAACCAGGGCGCAACAGGCAGGAATGATACGGTTCGCCGACCTCCTCACATTGTCGCGTAATATTGATGTCTGCTGCCTCTTTTCAGCTCGGTCTATTTTGCGGGACTGCACCCCCGACCGACTTGTGTCTTTTAAAGCACTCGATATCTCCTCATCCAAGCCTTCCCTCTCCAACTGCCGCTCCCCAGACTCCCAGAAGATCTGCGCGCCTTCCTACGTACCTCCAACGGTTTTTCGCTGGAGTGGGCCTCCAAGCAACAACAACGCTCACCAGAAGAGGAAGGGAGTGAGGGCGAGAAAGTCATCGGGAGAATCCGCGTCGATTCCCTTTCGGCGATGACGCGCGTACCGCTGGACGAGGACGACCTCCGAGACATGGCCTACGCTCGCGCTCGCGCGGCGGCGGCGGCAGCGGCGGCCGCGGCAAGAGCACGATCGTTGCCCCGCCGCCGCCCGCGCGCTCCGTCCTCCGGTCACGGTGGTAACGGTCTAGACGCGAAAGGATTCCACGGCGGCGGCACTGCTTCTGTCCTCGCAGCTACTGATGCGCCGTCTTCCTCGGAGGATCATGCCAAGACTCCAGCTACAAGCAGCAGTAGTAGCGCTTACGGCATCGCCGCATTTTGTCTTGATTCCTCTTGCGAGGTTGGGAGGGTGGCGCTACTCTACGGCGGTACCCCGGTTATGGGATCCGGCGGCGATGGGGATTTTGGAGAGAGGCGTGAACGTCCCGGCAGCAGCAGCAACAGCAGCACCAGGGAAAAGGATAGCAGCCGAAATAAGACCTCACCAACACAGGAGCTTTCCAACCCGGAGGTTTGGTTGCAGGACCTATCTTGCAGGTGATACATGCGGTTGCAAAATCTCCTAGATTCAGAAAAATTGCTTATGCGCACACGCGTGGGCAGTCAATATCCCATTGAAGTCACCATATCACCTATGGGACAGATAGCTGTTGGCGAACGCTGTGTACGGGCACATGTCACGCGTGGAACGAGAACGTTGGCGCCTCTACATCCGTGTAGCGTTTGTGCGATACACCGCCAAGCGTAGCCAGGGTTCGGCAGCCGCACGAAAAATCATACCTTCCCTCAAGAAACGCGCAGAATGTAGCTGTAGTGTGTATTTTCGAACTTTCTTGTACAACTGATGTCCCTCGTCATCCTGCTGCGTAAAAACCATGTTCTTCTCCGTCATGAGGAACGAACAGGTCATAACCTTGGCGGCGGCCATCTCATCGTATGCCGTATGGTATGTTCTCGTGGCGTGATTTTTGTCACGGCCGCGCGCAAGCAAGCATCACTGGGTTGCCACACCAACCAAAGCATTCTTACAGCTTGCCTCTTTCTGCGGATGTTTCGGCTTGATTACTTGGTGCTTGCGGAGACAGGTGGCACTTCCTTGCGGATGGCTTCACGAGCTACTTCCGTATGATGGTCCTCCATCTCGGTGTACTCGGCTGGCAGCAGGCGTTTACACCTGTTGGCTTGAGTCCGACCACGGAGCAGGTGCCGTATTCCTTGTGGAGGCGACATTGACCTTCATTTGACTCAGTTGCAAAACGAAATGCCGTCGATCGAGCCTCTCACTGGTGATGTGTTAGCATGAACGACATAGCTCGAATTGGCTGGCTGTGTATTCGTCGAAATGGAGCAGTCCTCTTTATGCCCCGAGTCGATGGTGTCGATTGCAGAAGAGCCGCAGTGCGAGTGCTATATTGAGGCCCCCAAGTTTGCGATGGGCATGCGTGTGTGGCGCCGGAAGCGCCTGGAAATGAACATCCGTCGGCATGTTTTCGTAGAAATAAAAACCGACCTTTTGTGTCGGCCGCCTCCGAACCCACTCCTTGTTGTGCGTTGCTGCGCTGTTCTCATTAACGAACCACGCCACGGGCCTCTTTTGCCCTTCCCTGTGTCATCGTTGCCTACTGCAACGACGCCGTGATATCGGCAGTGCATGCGATTGTTCTGCCCAGACAGGCTTCTGTTTGATCAGCTAGAGTGGCGAGTGGAACGAGCGAACGCGAAAGCGGCGCGAGAGGCTGCCACGGCCGCTCACAACCATGACCAGCACGGTGGCGGTGTACAGGCGGACGTCCAAAGGCACAGCTAGCTCCTCGCCGTATGTGATTGAGACAGATGACAAAAGTTAATGGGGCTACAAGAATCAATGAGATCGTTGATTCGGTGGGTAGCACGCTAGGGCGCACGACCTGCAGCCAGGCAAACGTGAGCTACGGGTGACACGTACATGCAAGGACCGTCTGCAAGATGCGTCGGGAGGGATCCCGAGAAATTTCTAAGTCACTTGGCAATCACGGTTCATGTTCTCAACCGGTCTGAAGAACACCTTGTCTCGAACTTGTGAATTTACAATGCTTGGAATGGGTTGTGGGGCTGGTTGGACGTGTACCGCCCAAAACACGAAAGACTAGTGGTGCCACGTGTCGGGCCAGCAGCCGGCCTGTAGCCATCCCTGGGCTGAACAGTGATGCTATTTAGCCCCTGTGTAAGTCCGGGTATTTTGGGGACTCGAGCTGACGGGTGCGAAACCAAAGGGTCAAAACTGAGGAGGTGGGCGTCAAGTCTCACACCGCCGAAGAATATCGCTGGCGTTAAAAGGATCACAAACCCAGACATACAAGGGAGTGAGGTGCACGCACGGTGGTCACGTCAAGTGGAAAACACTTGTCGTCCAGGCTCCTCGCTTCACATGATGTATATGTACATTCGTGCCAAGAAAAGTTCCTCCCGAGGACAAACACTCTGACCATTGTAAAATTCTGAATATAGCTTCGCACTCTGCTACTGCTGCCCTCCCTCCGCCCTCCCCAGACGCGGCGGGGGGCCCTCCAAAACATGTTTCGACCCCGCCGTGTGGCAGTAGTAGCAGAAAAACCCGTCACAGTTTCAAGCTCCTTTGAGGTTGTACCGCGACCCTTCCAGTTCCTCCACCTCTCTTTCCAACTTCTTCTGAGAGGTGAAGAGGTAGACGGCGGCCGCAAGCGCAACCGCCGGACCGAGCGGCAGCCAATAGAATAGCGGGTTGGTCACTTCGAAGTGTCGGAACACCGCAAGCCACGAGAAGAGGCTCGTCCATGACAACATGACTCCGGGTAAAATATGCCAACCGCTCCCCTGATGCAGTGCGGATGAACACACGCGAAGGAATTAAACGCACGAAGCACACGCGATATCCGAGTTGTGGGCTTGAGCGTTGCGACTGCAAGGCATTGATTGGGACGATACTTGAATTTCGGTAAAATAACACGTGTGTCCGGAATAAAGTATATATCTACATGTGTAGGACAGGGGCTCTTTTGTGTTGGTTGTCAATCCCAAAGAGCTACGGAGTTCAACGCGAGTGTGTGTGAACCCTGCCATTGTATCTAGCCAGTGGTAAAAGTGACGTGTTCTACAGCTTGTTCTACTCCTTAGTGAAACACACAAGCAGTCCCGTAGTTGCTCGACCGCGTCATCCTGAATCAAATATTAATTGCTCTCTTACTGCCGCTCCATCTTCTTGTGCCACCTGAATTGGAGTAGTACTTTACTCTCTCGGAAGCATGTTCGTTTTGACTCACCCCAGCCACTCTGTGCGCCAGGTACAAGCCCAGCAGCTGTCCGAGGTACGTGACATGGAACGCCGCATCCGGGACGTTCTCAAGAACAGCCCGGTGAGGCCAAGGCTCCCCGTTTCTTCCAGCTAGCATCAGCTTTAGCGAGCAGAGCACGAGCACAACACCGCACGCTAGCAGCCATCCAGAGAAAACTCGCTGTTGGAGAGGAGCGGTTGCATGCAGCGAGAGATCGATACCCGAAGGTGAGCAAATGAGTATCGTAGCTGGCCGGGACAGCAGAGTATGTTTCGTTTTTTTTATTGCGAACAGGAGGGTGGACGGTGAGGATGTAGTGTGGTGACGGTCACAGCGCCACTATTGTACGCCAACTGCTTGCGATTTGCGTACACACAGCTGTGGCCGGTTTCGTACGGATCTCCGCCTTATCTTTCTCTCGTTAGTATGTGAATGCCGTTCACCAGTGTGCAGTAGTTTGAGCGAAGAGTACAGAAAACGGTGAACAGTAGTGAATGGCGAGGCGGCAACGGCATGGTGATATCAGGCAAACGGGTCTGCTCGACACCGACATAATGTACCCCCGACCTCGGAAGCCCAACAATGGCAAGAAAACTGCGGCATCGCTACTACATAACTCTCGATTATAGTCCAATACTTTCCGCACAGGACTCACCGTGAAAAAGGTCGCCTGGTGCTCGACCTCTCGAGTGATTTCTGCTATCAACTTATCTTGCTCGTCGCTATCGATAGGGGCAGCTGCAGGCACGGCGGTTCCCAAGGACTCGGGTCTTCGCCGCCGTCTCGCAAGATACTGATCGCGATTCATCCCAACTACCGAACAGGGCTGCGCGGCTGATGACGAGCGCACACAGGAGAACGAACTTCCCGACAAACAGCCACACACAGCAGCTGTCGTGGGTAAAGAAGGAGAGGGTGCCGGTGAGGTACTTATTGCCTATGGCGAGTGCAGTGTTCCGCCTTCCGCCTGCTGCTCCTCATCTTGCCGCACTATTAGTCGCACCGCACCTGGCTGCGCATCATACATAAAAAAAAAATGGCGCGAAACGGGGTATGCTAACATGTGATATTCTGCTCTGCGGGCCCGCTGCATATCCCGGGTTGGTTCTGTGATCTGTGATGAGTCAACACAGCCTGGTGTGCTCCCGTCCAAGGTATCGCTGTAGAAGCTCATAAGTGCGCCCTCTTCTTGAGCGATGGATCTCGCCGCTGCATCTGCGAGGCAGGCGAAGGCCAAGGATGGCGAGCAGCAGCAGCAACTCTCCGCCAGCTGCCTTGCATGCCCCGCGTGTCTCCAGCTTTTGGCAGAGCCAGTGTCGTTGCCGTGCGGTCACACCTTCTGCAGAGTCTGCCTGGTCAAGGAGCTACGTCGAAAGCCGAAGGAGTGTCCGAGCTGTCACGCCACCTGTCACACCAGGCGAGTGTGGAGTAGTCGTCACGTGCTGGATGGCCGAGACTGAGTCGCCTGCTGCATCGATTCGTCAACGAGTTGCGGTTGGATGGGTCCCAAAATCTGCCCCTCTTCCCCCACGTTGGCGAGGCTGTTGCGACCCACACCAGGGAGCGCGCGAGCGTGTGAAACTGTACAGCAATTGCCGCCACCACCTTCCACTTGGTAACTACATTGTTGTCGAGTCCAAGTAGGAACACCAATGGCGTACTCTGTACTCTGTATGATAGGTCGCATCATTTATGCTCTAGGCGTTGAATATGACACCGGTGATGCGTGAGTCAACGTGTCAAACGTCCAATCCGGACAGTTTTTTGGATCCCCGGGCCGGGCAGATTTCCGCCCGCCCACTCTCTCTCTCATGTGTCTTTACTCTTTGGCCGCACTTGCACGCAACCACGCTTCATTTGGCGAGCTTCCTAAAAACAAAGCAAGCACACCAAACGCACGTGTTCCATGCCAAAGAGGCAGTAGGCTGGCCGTACCACCGTTGTCAATTCAAGAACTGGCCGCCGATTGTCCAGGTAATTTAGCCCCCGTACGTACATATCAACGTATTCATAGAACATCAACTCCTCCTCTGCGAGAGTTTCACCCACACCAGCAGATGGATGCGTTCTCTCCCTCTCTCCGGCGACAGCAGTTGTAGTTAGGGGATAGAGAATTTGTCAGAAGCGGCGACATCACGCCCGAAAGCACGGCAGACAGACGTCACCGACGATTGTTATCCCCAGAAACAGGACCATGAGCACCGCCGTCCCTGTAACAATACATATAGGTACTTCAGAAGTAGAGAACGATCGCGTTTGCGTATCAATCGGTAAGGTGTGCTAGAGTCCGGCTTTTGTGAGTCAGTTTCCAACATGCCGGCTGGCGCCATGTTATCTGGCCTCAGACTTGCTGACTCCAGCGTATACGATCAAGCATGTCACTCCCGCGCGTTTCACGAAGGTGGGACTCCAAGGAATATACTCGAATCTACAAGACTTGGTGGGTACGTTCATCCCGTGCTTGGATCGAACATGGTATCCACAACTGCCCGTTCGATCGCCATTCAAATTTGTCCACATGTCCACCCCGTCGGCCATCCAGAGAAAAATACGGGGATGTTGCGCTTGAAAAGCCGATGGCATTTCCTTTAACCCGGACTCATGAGGATCTTCTGGGAATAATTCCGAGTTAACATATCATATAGGCACTAGACTACTGGCAGCCCAAATAGCCGGCGAGGTTGAAGGTGGGCGGATACAGTCAGCGCCCGCTTATGCATATGAGCTTATGCATACGAACCTCTATTTTTAGGCGACGCTGGGATTCATAGGTCGAAGGTTGTGGCCACCGCTGTTGTAGGTTTTAGCGTAGAGGGTTCTGAACCGAGCTTTCAAGGTTGTTAGATTTCGAGTTTTTCGAGGCTGCATCAATTTCTTGACTGACAAGTCCTCAACAAGTGTGGGCGCTAACTACTGCTGTATGATATGTAAACCCCAAGTATTTTTGGACATTGGTGATTCCCCCCGCCGCCGCAACAACAACAAAAAACACACGCACACGGACGTTAACCATTATGGTCGATCCCGTCTGGCCCAACACCGCAATCAAACTATAGTTACATTTCTGTACAACGAGCACCGTTGTTCGTGTCTACCCGAGGGTTGCTTTCGCAACTCCTGGTGACTGCTTGAAGCACTTGATTGACTCTTTACGTGGAAGGCGCTTGACATCTACACAACTCCCCAAGCACACACAACAGCAGTACAGCAGCTCTATGCTGCTCCTACCCACAGGGGAGATATCGCTGTATGCTGCTGCTCGGAGAACGAACGGTGAAATGCAAGTCGGTCATCATTGAACACGATTCTTTGCTGATCTATCCGGGACTCTTCATCTGCCGAAGAGATATTTGTGCGGAGTAATAAAAAACAAACAGCTAGATGTATACGGACACCGAATGCCGTCTCGCTCAAAATGAACCCGATCTGTCCTCTCAAACAAACCTCCGTTTCTGGTTTCAATTGCTACTGGAAAAAACGAGTGTCGAATATCATTGTACTCACCAGCACTACCGCATCTCCTCCGAAAAAAAAAAAACATTCGAGCAGGGCGGAAGATCAACCGCAAAACGTGATGCTGGCGCAGATCGCGAAGTCGCTGTTCCCCGAGCTGCTGGAGCGGCGATTGCGCGAGACGGAAGCGGAAAAGGCCAAGTTCGAGCTGTGCCTGCCCGCGTTCTTCTACAACGTGCCCGTGTTCCCCGGGCAGACTCTGTGCGTGCACTTCTTCGAGCCCCGGTACAAGCTTATGATGCAGCGCATCATCAACACGAGCCGAAGGTAACAGCAGTATCTTGTTTTCTGTCAACAGAGAGAGAAAAACGCCACGATGAGCGGTGGGGCTCCTGGTTCTGTTTAGCCCCCGACCACCGGCCTCAGTTATTTTTCACTTTTCTTAGAGTACACGAGGCGCATTGAACCCGTCGGGAATGGTTGAGTCGAACTTCTCATTCTGCTTGCGTGCTGTACTTAAAAGAAACCAACCCATGCGCTCCTCCTCAGGTCGGATGCTTGGCTGATAGCCACGTGGTACACGGGAAGAAAATGTACGAAATACCCCCGTCCTCCATACACACGCGTCCCTTATCAAATTGATCGGTGACCCCTTCATGCTCTGGCCCGTCCCTCGCTGGCAGGTTCGCGTACGTGCTGCCAGCACCAGTACAAAGCACGAACAACGACGACAGGAACACGGACCAACAAGGCCGCATTGCCCTGGAAGCGCACGTGGTGAGCGAGCCATGTCCACTTACTACCCCACCCCGAGTTCCGGGGCTTTATGTTGTGTGTGTGTGTGTGTAACGCGGCCAGGAACGCTGACCTGTGTGCAAGCTGTTCGGGAGAAGCTCGGGAGTCGTGAGTCTTTGTCGCCGACGGGAGGGACGGCGAAAACATTGAATTTAGTACTTCTCTTGGTGGGTGCGGGACCTTAGTTTGGCTTTTCCTTGTTTTGGTAAAGTATTTTTTTTATTGATCACATCCAGAAGCGTAGTTGCTTGGGTTCCTGCTCGAAGCATGGAGGCCTTCCCCCCTCAAAAGTAACCCCCCCCCCCCCCTACCTCTTGTTTCCCTGCTCCCTGCACGTTATGCCGTCGGTTTCCGCGTTGAAGCTTGCGCTGCCTTCTTCTCGCCTGTGCTGTCGTGCCTTGGACATGTTCGGGTTGTCAATGACAACTCTCTCTTTGGTCCATATCCCCAACTTTGTCCTCACAGCACTCCGACTGACTCTAGCCCCCCCCCCCACCCGCCCCAATATTTCCTTCGCTGTGTCTGGATCTCATCTCAACCTGTATGACTTGCGACCATCGCAGTGCGAGGCAGAGTTTTTGAGTGATGATCGAGTAATGGTCAAGATCAAGCTCGCCGGACGCCACACTGTAGTGGTGAGTGTCACGCGATTCTTTCTTGTCCCTTGCCCCTATCTATGCACATGAGCAGTAATGCGACGTGATCTGGTAAGGTTCTGTCTGCACTACATGCGCTTTCGTTTTTTTTGTCGTGCCCTGGGAATGTTTGTGCTTCCCAGGAGCGCACATGATGCACAAGCCTCGCGCCGGCCATAACCAACCTCGCCGACTTTCGCGCGGCAATGACCAATCGCGTCTCGTTCCGTCAAAAAAATTAGGAGGACTTTGTGGAGGCCGGCACGGGGGATCTGCACTACTGCCAGCTTGAGCCGTTCGATGACGACCCCTTGCAAGATGGGGGCGCGGACGAGCTGGAGGACCTCCACACGCGAGCGAAGACCATGTGCAACGGCTTCCTCGGCCCGTTCAAGGTGCGTCGGTTCGCTGCGGTCTTTTGGTGGCTGTGACTTGCACGTGAAGACCCTCTCCTCCCGCGGCCGTTTCAGAGTATCCACCCTCCGTTTTTTTTTTTTTTTTTGGGCCCGGCCGGACGATGGAAGTCCCTTGCAGTCTTTGTACGGAAAGAGAGAGGTGTTGGGAATTGGACGTCGTGTGCAGGTACTACTTGGTGGTGTTGGGTGTGCTTCTGTGATCAATCCACATACAAATGTAGCATCTGTCTTTCGAGGTTCGTATTTTCCATTTCTCTGACTCCGGCTGCTCCCCCCCCCTCTCCGGCTCTGCAGCTATATTTGAGGGCGAGGGCTGGTTTGATGTATGTACGCCCCCGGTCCGGTCCCGCATGGCAACCGAGTATTACCTCTTCTCACCTCTTCCCCGCATCTTATGTATAATTGTTCTTGTTTCATTTTTCGGGCCGTTTTTCCACCAAACAGGGCCAGCTGGTGGAGGCGCACGGAAGGATGCCGGAAGACGCTGTGGGCCTGTCGATGTGGATGGCGTCCCTCCTGCCGTTCTACCCCCCGGACAAGCACTCCCTCGTGCGGTCGAGGTGCACGCGACGACGCATGCGCACCTGCCTCGACTGCGCCGCCTCCATGGAGGAGATGGCTCGCGCGGCCGCCCGACGAGAGGAGAAGAGCTCGGCGGGGGACGTGTCTGCCGGCGAGGGGCAACAACAGCAACCGCCGCCGCGTCCGTCGCAGCCGGCGGCGGAGGCGGCGGCGGAGGCGGCGGCGGTGGCGGTAGCTCAGGCGGGGGTTTCTGGGGGCTCGGCGAGCGCGTGGGAGGACGAGGGCGAGAGGAGTAGTAGGTCTGCGCGACAGCGGCAGCGCCGGTGAAATATGTCGTTTTCTTGCTATTGTGTCTGTCTGCATGTCTGTTGCCTCCTTCCCTGCTGTACGGCTGTCGCGCCAGGTTGCTCTTCCTCCTCTCTTTCAATTGTTTTTTCATGTGTTCCCCGGAAGAGGGTAGAGTGGTGTGGCTTTCGGCACCGTTGAGAGAGGAGGACACCCCTTTTGCTGCTGCTGCTGCTGTTTAGCATCAGACGGATGCTAGTGCCGCCTGCCGCTGCGGCTGCTGTAGCTGGTCGTGGTGTGGTTGCTGCTGCTGTTCACCAGTCCGTGTAGGGAGCTGCTCTACGTAGATGTGAGTACTGCTGTTGATGCCACGTGAAGGGCTTCGATCGGGCGTTTCGTGCTGCGGTCGACGCGCGTTCCTACGCGTCTGAGCGTGTTTGTTCATGCCGGCGTCATACTGTGAGCGCCGACGGGTGTGAGGGTGGGTAGGCAATTTGTGCCGATCAGAGAGAGTCCCTACATGAACATGAATATCGCACAATGTGGATTGCTTGGCCCTTTGTGGTTCGGGAAAAGGAGGGTGCGGGGGGGGGGGTACAGGCGAGACTGGCGTCGTACCCCCCATGACTCTGTTTTTTGGGGTCCTTCAACGGCGTGTTGGGTATCGCACCTCGGGGAAAGGAACACTCTAGCGGTGACTGTAAATTCACGGGTGTAGGTATACACATGCGGGTGTGGGCGGGCATGGTGTCGTTCCTAAAGTTTGGATCGGTGGGTAAGATGCTGCTATTCTCGTCACCTCGGCGACACCCGTTCTTTGGGGGGGGAGGGTAGTTCTTTTGTGTAGTCTGATATATTTTCCCAGTTGCCTCGTTGAGGGCAGTTCTCGGGTTTCCGGATTGTTTTGTGCATGTACAGCTTTTTTTCCCGGCGAACGTTTTAGGGGTGGTGGTGAAAGCGGGCGAGGCGAGAGTGGAGGTTACTAGTGCGCGGGTTGAGATTTTGTAGGAAGAATCGTGTACAATGTGACCTTCGAACAATGCACCCTTCATTTTTCATTGCATTGTCCGGAGAAAGGAGATTCAACCCCTGGTTGGGGGCGGGGGTGGGGGGGGTGGGGGGTGAAGCCTCGATTGGTGCGAAGCAACAACCAGCAGCGGTGCCCAGGGCGAGATTTGTATGGAATCGAGCTCTTGTGTCTTGCGTTCGACACAGGGCAGACAGAATGGACAACGAGCTCATGATTTTCCGAGGGAAAGGGTCGGGGCGATATACCACTGTGGTTTGTTGCTGGTCTTTCGTCAGACTGCTGTTCGGCTGGCGTGGCTGTTGTTTCGGTGTGCGTTTCCCTTGAGTAGTATCGACCGCGCCAACCGACTGACCAATGAAACGAAGACCGTATATCAACGGCCGGAACAAGGTTGATAAATATACATACTTGAGCGTTCTGATTTGCGGAGGACTCGTGTGTTTGTGTGTGTGTCTTCATTCTTAGCATCGCGAGCCGGCTGGCCAATGGAAATACGTCAGTCTTAGTGCGGCTAAAAACGCTTCGAAGGGCCATAATCTGGGACCCCGTGAGGAGAGGGGGGGTCATGGGGGAGGCTAGGCTATTCTCCGGAGGTTCGGTGTGTATGTGTGCGTGCTTCTTCTTTGACTAGCATCGACCACGCTGTGTGTGTGTGCTTCTTCAAATGGCATCAGTCTTAGTTGTGGTAGCGAGGGATAAGGAACAGAGGCTTGTATGTGTGTTAAATGTGTTGCCTCCTGCACGATCTTTGTCTGGGGTGTCGTGTGGCAAGGGGGTCCCGTGGCAAGATATTTCTTAAGAACCTCCTCTTTTCTGTTCGTCCCCTTCCTTGTGTGTTCAAAATCGCGTATGGTGGCAATGCATGATGTACACGCGGTCCTGGTAGATGGACAATGGTGCTGTACGTCATGACTCTCTTCATTCCTTGTGGAAACGACGAGCGAGGTCTCTTCTCGCGCGCCATGCCGTGAAGTTGGGGATTTCCATGCGAGCGACTACGAGAGTAAATTCCCGGTACATAATAAAGTCGAGCTTCTGAATTCACCGTATAAACACAGAGAAATTCGACGTATGCACACACCAAGTACTTACGGTGGGAGTCTCACTCAACTAAGCAGTAGTGATAGCTGGTATTGCTGTACCCCTGTATGGACGGTGCAATGGTTCGGTCGCCGGCAGGGGGGGAGCGCGACATGGCTGCCCAGCTGTGTGGTATATATGATGCTATCTGTACCCAGGAAGGAGTCATGATCTCTACAATTGTATGATGGGTCTAGTGAGTAGTGAGTGATGCCTTGTCAATAAATACTATACAAGGCGTTCAGGAGATGCTTGTCGAACTCTTCTACGAAGTACCTGGTAGCCAAGACAAGAAGACAAGAAAGACTCCTGTGTGTGTGACAAGAATAAGACTGACAAGACCAAACAGCAAAGATCCAAGATCGCGGATGGCGCCAATGGGAGCTCCGCAGGAAGGAGGCAGGTACATGGTTGTGGGTTCCATCTGCGGTGCACCTACTGTATTTGCTCGTGCTGTGCAGTGTCCGAGGCTTGAGGCTTGCCTGAATACCCACAAGTCCTCCGTCGTGCGTAGAACATCTCCAGCATCAGCATGCGGTTGGCCAGAACCCCGCGAAGGTCTTTCACTACACAGGGCGGGAGGAGAGGGAGAGTCTCGATGTCATCATACCAGGTGCACGATTTGGAGAGAACGTCTCTTGTGTTGGCGGGTTATTATAGTTGCCCTCCTACAGCCGCTGTGCGGCGTGTCTGGTGCGTGGCATGCATGATGATCAAGGGATGTGCCGGCTCCGCACCTGCCGCATCCCGATCACCAATCGCAATCGAACCATTGGAGATTGTAGTAGCGTGCACTTCACTTCTAAGAAATAATGGGCCATTCCTGAAGATGTACGAAATACCCCGACGCCCCCTGCTTTCACAGGTCGACCCGTTACATTAGTCCGCATGCACGCATGATCGTAACGAGAGAGCTTTTCTTACAATACGTTGGGTGTACAGTAGACCATGTTGTGGAAATCATTGTCGGGGTAGAGCAGCGCAACAGCAGCTGGAAGCTGTTTGAATGGTCCTCATCCGACCAGCTACGTACAGCTCATCGAGACCCTTTTGTCACCGCTCCCAAAAGTATCTCCGTCGAGGTTTAGGTTTTTCACACGACAGCAGAAAAAAAAGCACTTGGTTGTATCGCTGCTTACACCGCAGTACAGCAGTAGTAGGCGGCGGCGTTTCGCGATTCAAACGCGGCGGTACCCGGTGCCTGATACATACACAGCAGTCAGCGAATTGTTTCAGGGAACGACCCCGAAGCCTTGACGTTGCCCGCCATGTACCGCAACTTGACGGCGCACTTCAGGTGTCAGGAAAAATAAACAAACACGGCAAGACTACCCGTTCGAGGTATACCCACGCACAGTCGATTGTATTGTTGCTGCAAGCCGGCTGGCTTCTCGGGTCAGGTTTCGCCGCCTTCTGTCGTGCCCTCTACCGATTTTATGATAGGCAAGGCCGAGGGGCCATTAACTTTTCATTGGGTACTTACAGCTGCCGCCGCCTGCGGCCTTTCCCACCCCACTCGTCAAGCTTCTCCCCGATCACGTTCCGACGAACGAACGAAAACCGACGATGACGATATGACGATGTCTATGCGCGGCGAGCGTCCAACCATTCGACGCATTGTTGTTGCCGATGGTCCGGTTGACAGCGCAGATATGCATAAATAGGTCGATCCGTCATGCTTGATTTCGTTCCGAACCAGCGCGATCCTTTGGGAGTAGAAATGACAAGTCGGAACAGCATTCAATCCCATGGAAGCGAATGGCCCGAGCGGGCCTTCCGTCTTTGAGTCTTGACGACCCAGAACGGTAAGGGGTATTGAATGGCAGGAAGACGGCGGTGGATGCGGACTCCAGAGTCCGGATTGCAGCATGACAAGTCGCGTACCTATGTCGCCGAGAATAGGCTGATGTACGGCGCGAGTCTCGGCCAAACAGCTCCATTTCCGAGACCAAATCGTCGTGTACCGTCCGTTTGTTTTGTCACCAAAACCGCCTGTTGTAACGCGAAGCAGATTCTCTGTCTTGTCTCTCTTGTCGCTGGTTAGTTCTTACCCTCTACATAGCTTGGCGGGCGTGTGGCAGTGAAGTCCCCGTGACGTCGGAGGAGGCACACCAACTGTTAACTTTGGCAGACCAAACTTGCGGAGAGGAAGTGATACTCCGGAAGTTGCTTTTTTTAGCGAGGTCCACAAGACTACCAGACGCCCGTAGGATGGATGTTCGGTGGGACTCTCCCAATACTTAACAAAAACGGAGAAAGGCTCGAATATATGGGACAAACATTCGTCTTCTCCAATACAAACGAAACCCTTTCATTGTGATACTTGCGCCTAGAGCATCAGGGGGCACATGCACTTTGGCAGAAGGGGCGGTTATCTGCCTGAGCCTGCCGTTGCAGACATTCGTTTCGAGATTGGCCCCAAGCGGGCATCGGGCTCGTACTGTTGGGCGTTGTTATCTGTGCAGAGGTCGCGGCAAGATTGAAGACAAGTGTTGGGAGAGAGAACAGACGTCTTCTGCTGTCGGTGCCACCTTATTGTACCGACGGACAACGACGACACACTAGGGACCCCGAGGGAGCACAACCGGACAAGGCGGGAAGGCGGCTGGCTCGTTGACTTGGGGGTCGTTAGGCGCCGGTCCAGCCGGAGATGACGCAAAGCGGTGCCTTGCTTCCTCTGCAAAGCAGACAGACTAGACGAAGCTACGGCCATAGCGTGCACGTAGATCGCGTGTAGGAAACACGCTCGTCCTTCGGTTGTGGAAATCATGCAACTGGCTCTGTTTCGCAAGCAGAATGATCCCAGACCAAGATATGCAGCAGTAGTCGTGCCGAGGCCCCTCATCGACTCCCCCCCCCCTTCCCCTTGCCCACCCCCTCGTCTGCTCGATCTGGCTACACGCACGCGTACCTCCTCTGATGATACACGGAACCCCACAAAAAGCAGGCCATGTTTGCTTTGTGCATGGGCGCGGGCTTTTTCATAGTCTGCATGCACTGGCACCACGAAGTTCAGAACCTTCCCATGGAGAACATCCCGGCGGGGCAGCCCCCGAAGGCCTTGAGAGGAGACGACATTGTTGTTGTGGAGCCATTGCAACCTCTGACGCCAGGGGAGGAAGAAGAAGGTGGGAATGCTAAAACTACCGGGGGGGCATCTTGTTGTCGTTGTTGTTGTTATTGTTGTTGTTGCCGCTGCTTCTGCTGCTGCTGGGGTAGGCAGCATCCTGGGCCTTGCGCAACTCAGAGCAAGCGTGAAATTTTTGGAGGGCGTTTTGGATTCGTGTGCGTGTGTGTGTGTGTGTGTGTTTTTTTTTTGTTCATGTCCGCGTGATGCACGAGAGTGTGGTCTGAACTTTGATTTTCGTTCTCGGAGACCGTCGCCGACAAGAACAACTACAGTACCGTCTGCACTCGAAGCGGTCAACTTTTTCTCGACGTATTGTTTTTCGTTCTCCCCGCCGGAGACTTGAGAACAAAAGGGAAGATGCCGCTCCAGGATATGGCGAAGGGACGCGTGCGGTATAGTAGATACCATCTGTATGGGTTGGATGTTAAAAGTTCCAGTCTAAGTGTTTTACAGGTCGCCAGGATCGATGTGCATAAATTCTTGCCCTCCTTAACAGTTACGTTTGTCCTGGTCGTGTCTCCCTTCTGTTTCGCCCTCGCCCCCCCCCCCCCCCCAACCCCCCCCTCTAAAAAAAAAAAAAAAAAAAATAATAAAAAAAAAAAACAAAAAAAAAAAAAAAAAAAACCCCCTAGAACAAAAAAAAAGTATCCCCAAAACCGGAAATTCCCCAAAAAAAACCAAAAAATTAAAAAAAAAAAAAAAACCGGCCAAAAGGGAAAAAAACCCCCAAAAAAAAAAAAAACCAAAAAAAAAGAAAGGAAAGAAAAATAAAAACAAGGGGG